AATGAGGCATTTCGTTTGCAAAATATTAATAGTCCCGTATGGCCGTTCTTTAATTTTATTTTATTTATCGTTGCTTAAATATATAGTGCATTTATACCGCATTTACATTCCTTCAAAGTAATCGCGTGTGCCTATAATTTTATGGGTGTTACTTGATCGTAATCGTGAATTAAAAAGAACTTGAAATTGGATTGCACTATTAAAGAAATACATTATGATCCACGTTTATTTACGTTTCGTAGAAATAATAGAGAATTCCTATCCGAATGGAAAATCTGCTTTATTATATTTTTAATACCCATTTTCATTATCATCTTATTATCAACCGTTTCCATTATTATTATAATACCACAATTTTTTTTTATTTTTCGATGCATATTAAATTATTGTAATGAATAATAATTATAGTAAATAACTCTACATCACATAATGTATGTTATTAAGTAATATACAAATAAATGTAACATAGTAAATTACAGTATTATTATAATTATGTATTTATAATTATATTATTTAATAATATTTAATTACAATTATTCCACAATATTTTCACTATATAATAATTGAACAATCGTATAATTGGTATTAATAACATTTAATTCAATAACATTAAATAAGATTAATACTAATTTATCAATACTATTAATTATAATAATAATATAATTTATTGTTAACATTTAATACCATAATTCACTAATATTTAATTATAATTATTTATTCAAAACTCGAACTTAAACTTTACAAAAATTCCTTTTACAATTTTTCAACAAAAATTCTTATCACCAGCATTTATCATTATTGTCCACTAATTTTTAATTAATAAATATTATTCATCCAAAATCTAAATTCAAAATTTTACAAAAATTCATACTCTTCCAACGAATGATCTAAAATATCCAAACAAAATTCCTATAAATATTGATAGCTCTCTAAATCCTCACATGCAGGGATGTACCATCGTAGTCTTCGCGGCAATGGGTGCCATAATCGCGCCATACACGAGCCGCGGCAAATTTTCTCCGTTTTCCCCCCGACTTCCTGCTCCCCTTTTAATCGTTCCTTTTCATTTCTGGAATTGGACGGGGGCAAAAATGGCAAGCGTGCAGCCTTGGTTCGCAAGATCGTTCCTCTTAAATGGGCGTCCTTAAAACTCGGGGTGTTAAGAGGAGATAAAATAGCGGGTATGACTTTTCGCGTGGCTACATCTTCGTGCTTCGAGTTACTTCGTGGAAAACATTCTGGCTCCTGGTGTAACGACCCAACGAAACGAAACGCGTGTAATTATGGAACATCCATGAACGCAATTCTCCGCTGTTATTCCCGGTGGAAAGTAAGAAAGTTTTTAACCCCTGACACGTTCTGACGTACCCTCGCCTATGATCGAACGTGTTACGCGAATTTGTTTATTCGTTTGTTCGTGATGAAGAGCTGGATAGTGTTTGGTTTTTATTTTGGACAAAGTAAAAATTTCTGGGCATTAATTTAAGTTAAATTTATGTAAAAACAGCATTACAATAATTCAATATTGGAAAAATTGAGAAATATGATTTATTTAATTAGGAATTAATTAAATATTCTTTATTCCTAATTAAGGAATATACAAGTGTACTAAATATTTATTAGATTTGTAAAAATAAGTGTAAGGGGTTGTTTGGAAGTTAATTTCAAATTTTTTAAGATTCTCTCTCCAATTTGAAATTTTTCAAAGTTTCGAAACATTCGAAAGTTTTGATTTTGTCTTGTGAGAGTAATATTTTATTCTCACTTCACCCCCAAAAACAAAAGAGAACATCATTAAGTACTCAAAGAATTTGTTTTCCTTATAGATTTAATATTTTCCCTCATTTTGAAAATATCGAACCACAAGAGGGAGAAATAGAAAGTTTCTTCAATTTCTGGATACATCGACATCTCGTGACACCCACCCCAAATAAAATATAAATTTTTAAATTCATTAATAACCAGAAATTAATCACATGGGGAACAATAAAAGTAAAAAATTATCTAATAATCATCCCTTTGGAATATTAGAATTAAAATATCGAAGAATCCAATAAAAGTATGATGGATAAGGTTATGGACACCAGCTCTGTGCAGTTCAATTAGCAATAAATAAAGTCTCTTATTTAAGGCGTGCAAAAAATTGTGCTTTCTGTGCAATATATTAAAGCAGGTTTAAAATGAATACATTCCTTCTAAGGTTTTCTTACATGCTTCCTTAGATTTACGAGATCCTTCGAAGATCCAATAGGGTCTTCTTCTTCGCAGCGCGCCATCTTGGATTCCGCGCAGACTTCGCTACTCGGCGCGCGAAAACGAGCCCCGAGAGAAATTCCGAAAAATTCTTAAAAAATCGTTGCACATGGACAGGGGATTTTTCATATGCACGTCATGGAAATTTAAACACGGTCTACCGATTTTAGAAAGTGATTTCATCGGGTATTTTTATCCGACGTGCAATAAAAATTCGAAATGTTGCACGTATTTATTCCGCCTTGGCCGAGGTATCGCGTAGAAAATATTTTTAACCGGTGACTAAAACGGGTCATTTGGTTCACGAGCGTCTGCCTTGTTTTAAAGTACCATTAAGAAATCGTCGTAAAATTTGCGATGCCGTTGGTCGTGGCGAGCTATCAAGGTAACGTTATTCCGAAACGGTGAACCGGAGGCTTCTCGTTGCAAAACCAATTTTCTTAAATACCCCACAGCGAGATTATTCATTTGTTAACGAGCTGATCCGTCATTGGGCGTGCTATAATATAATATCGTAACGCGATCCGATACAATACGGTATTATTGTTGGTTTCAATAACGGTAGACGTCGGCGTTAGAGCGGCCGTAAGCGATGTTAATGATGCATGGCGTGCGTTATAATCTTCTTATCGCGTAATCGGCTCCTAATTTCACATCGTGGAAACGGAAACTGTTCGACTTGCAACAAGGGCTCGTGGAGGAAAAAGGAGATGAGAGATTCGTGTAACGTTGCGCGAAGATAGCAAGGCATTATGAATTGTGCAAATGCGACCTTGATTTAATATTACAGGTTATTAATGTTAACCGACTTGCTACGTCTCCTTTCGATTAATTCGTTCTTCGTATCCGTGTTCGCAATTTTCTTCACGCGAGAAGTGGCACGGTTAAAGTTTTTATCGGGATTGTTTCTGATATTGGTGATCAGAGAGATTAAATTTTCAGGCAGTTGGATGGTTATGTGATATTTGTGGATAGAAATGAATACCAATATCTTCCATGTTTTCTAACAATTGACAAATTAATATATTTATATAATAATATTTTAATATTGACAACAATTCTAAATAAACTATTTTAAACACAAAGATTGACTCTGTCTTGAAAATTCTGTTCTCTCTCTCTCTCTCTCTCTCTCTCACTCTTATTAACTCATGTTTACTCTATGACGATTCTCACGTAACTGTTTCATTCTGCCACATTCTTTTAAACATTTTTTATCAACATTCACACTAGACTCCACTCGCACATATTATATTTATACCTCAATACCATTTACACATATAAAACCAACACTCACACTCTCATAAAACCAATACTCTCAATATTCATGAATTCATATTAATGGAGAGTATGGGGCAAAATTGGAAGTTCCGTTTTTGAGAATTTTGAGATATATAATGTGTTTATATGTATTTTATATTTATGTAAATAATGAGAAATTTTTTAAATAAGTTTTTGGAGATTTTTATTCACACAGGACATTTATATACATTTAGAATAAGAGTAATAATTATGAGTGGTTGTTTTTATACACTTTTTTGAGATTTTGTTTGAATTAATGTCTATTTTTAGAAGCTCTTAGAAGTTTTGCACAGGATATCATTTTAGTGGAAAATGGGATTGTAGAATTGTTACAATCACAAAGTGATACTCTTACTATTTCTAATTAGTGTAAGTTTTATTCATAGTCATTGAAAAATAAATTATTTGAATATTAGTGCAGTGGATGAAAATTCCTTTCGTTTCAAGAAACTCAGAATACGTTTTGTACTTGAAGAAATTATCGTTTCACTTATTTCTCTTTCCTAATACCCAATTAGAATAAAAAATGTCTTATCAGATTATAAATAATATAGAATTTATCAAACCTCATTTCTTTATTACTGAACTTTGATATTAAAAATTGATTTCTTTAATAAAATTCTTTTAATATTTTTATAAACGTTCGATATCTTCAAAATTATGAATTGAAGTATATAATACCATACAGTGCGACACAGTATACATTATACACAAGTAATCTTCAACCAACACAGCACCTCAAAGATGAACAAAAATTGTTGACACACGCAATATCTGATTATTTAGTCCAAGCCACTAACCTCTTACCCTTTAAACTGCCAAATAAAACCCTCCTCAAAAGCCATTGAGCTGCAAACAGAATGCTTAAATTAATTAATTTACGTGTGTCATAAACCAACTTTAAAAATCTCTGCAACACACCATTAAAACGATGTACACTACATAAACAATATCTCCTCCAATCACAATAAATCACCGTGTAACCCTAACCGAGCTCAAGTACGAACTCAAAATCAGACGACACGACAGTCGTATAATAAAACTCTCCGTCTCCAGACCCACTGTTTACACAAAGCCAACACAGGAATGCAAAAAACGATTTTAACGCACCAATCCGACGATAAGGTACCAAAACGAACGTGCCAGTTTTCACGTGCCGTGATATAGTAATAATATTATAATAATTTTCCGATATAATATCGCACGCGGGATATTGTAATCCAAGGAAGGAATCCAAGAATTCGTCGACCTTTCGTTCGTAATACTACCCGCGCCATTGCATCGTCGATCGCAGCAAATTGCACGGGCCGCATTTTCCTCGCGAAAAAGGCCCCCGCACAGGCGCATGCGCGCGGCAACGGCGGCAGGTAATCGACGGTCCCCTGACAGGCCGATCGTGAAAGGTGCTATGTACACGCGACGTTAATTGCTGACAGTGTGTATTTCCGAGTTTTAATAAAGTGACGGTCGTTAAGATCGCATGGCCAGTTAACTTCTTGCTCCCGTCAACCGGTCTCGTTACGTCGCGATGCCTCGTGAATTCTGGAATACCAAGGCTGGAAACGAGATCAGCTAATCCACTTCGGAAACCGACACCGTTCAGCTACCTACTTTTCCTCGGCCAGCTGTTAGTCTTCTTGAACGGATAGTTCCGTGGCGAAATATATCGATAGACTGTGCTCTCAGTCCAGTGATATTATTTGCTGCCAGAATTCGTGTCTGTTATGATTGGGACCTGGTTGCCTGAGAGTCCCCGATGGCTTGGCTTGATACTCGTGAGTAGTGTTTTGGTTTTCGTCGCTTCGCTTCTGGCTGATGTGTGTTCATTGGGACGTTTGGTATTCTGGAATTTGAAAATTGTAGACTATAGTGCATAACAAGTGGAGATAGCATACTCTATGATTTTCAGTGTTTCTTGGGTAATTTTGAAGTGTAAGAGATAAAAGAAAATCGTGTGATTATAAATCAAGTTCGATTTTACAGAGGAAGGTTAATACTATAGTTGAGCAGTTGATAAAGATATTGTAAAAAATTACTATACTTAACCCTTTGCACTCGAGAGGCGCCCTTCAGTCGTCATTTGATAAAATTTCGAAACTCGATATTAATTAGTATATGAAATTTAAAATAACGTAACAGTGTGCGAGGTATCGAAATTAAATAATTCTTCGTATTAATTATTATATGATTTCTTACTTACTGCTCAAAAAATGTCAGTTTTATAACAGAAAATTTTTCGACTCATACCCTTCTTTAGTCAAAAAATCGTCGAGCTTAAAGGGTTAAAATATTTTTGTAAAAATAGGAAAATCGATATTCCTTATTCATTTATTCCACGAACCTAAGATGGCAAGTAGTTTTTGATAGAATGAATTTAATATTGGAGTCTTCCAGTATTCATTTTATTTTATATATATATTTGATAAAAATAATAAAATTGATATATGTGCCTATGATTATGAAAGTGGTCTAAATCACTTATATTTGCTTCTGAAATATTAAAAGCTTCGGCCTTTAAATACGTCATAAATTATAAAATCAATTGCGATAAAGCTACAAACTCAATCCAACGATTCAATTCTTCACTGTTTTGTAGAGAATAAATATATTGTATCGTAATATAAATGAATACAACACGAAATAAATAATAAAATCGTTCCTCTTAAGTCCATGACTTAGACCACTTTCATAATTATAGGCACATGTGTTAAGAGTGACTGTCTAACACCTAGATGGCTCCCAAATTAAATCTATTATAGTATCTCATTATTATAACAGATGTCGTGATTAGTACGGTTCTAACAATTTTTGCTGCCAAATCCAAATTCGGTATATGAAAATATGTAAGAAGAATTTTCAAAAAACGAAGTCTCGTTCATCTACTTTTTGGTAATAGCTGTGTTGGCATTTCGTCGCAACCATTTTCCCCAAATAAATAATTAAATTGACAGAAAGAGATGTAAGCTGTAGTGAATATTCGACTGTATTATTAAGGATGGGAGAAATATGAGTACATATGTATATAACATATGCACATATTACATTAGTTTCATAAAACTCTGAAAGCTACAGGGTGTACTATTATTTTATCTCACACTGTAACTTCTGTGATTTGGATTTGAGACCTTTGGGGACTTGTTTCCAGAGGACTACTCTTTTGCCTACCTTGGGATCAAGTGTTGCGTACTTTGCGAATGTTACTTTACTTTTTATTTCTTTAATTTGCGATTCTTGTCTTACTCACTATGAAGTTAGGTACTCCGCAACATGTAATTTCACGTTTATTTTTTACAATTTAAACTTCAGATTTTTTAGTGTTTGCAGAAACATGTTCTCTTCATCAGCTTGATAGCTACAGTTGCAACCTGTGAGTTCTTTTTCATTCGCTGTTACTTCAATTCAGGTTTCGTTGGTACTATTCCTTGAAGCAATTAGTATTCTTCAAGCTGAAAGTTGAAGTTTATTCCCTATAATTTAAATGTGTTATTTTTTGGTGCTCGTTTACGGCTGTTTCCTGAGCGAAGTTGACATCTAGCATGGCAACCTGAAAGTTCTAGTTTGTTCCTTTTTACCCGGATTCGCGATGTTTTGATTTTTACAGAGATGATATAGTAGCGATGTCAATAATCTGAGAATTTAGCTTACATTGAAGTCGTGATTATTTTGGTATAGGTAGAGACATGGTCGTTTGACAACGTCGATGACTTGTATCGCAACTCCTGAGCGCCATTTTATTTTTTCTTACGTCGATTCAGGTTTCCTTGCTATATATTTATCGACACGTTTACAGCCTGTAAGTTCGAGTTTATTCCTTATAATTTGAATTTATGGTTTTTTGATACTTGTAGGGATGTGTTCTCTTGACGAGGTTGACAACTTAAGTGTTCTAGTTCGTACTTTATTATTTATTTTCATCTTCGTAACGATGATCTCTCGGCAGTGTCTGCAACCTGAGAGTTCAATGTTACTCGGATTTACGGAACACGAAGTCTTGGTAATGTCAGTAATTTATTTTGCAAACTATTAATTTATCTTTACTTCTTGTCGTTTGAATCCCTGGTTTTTTGGTATTCGCAGAAATGTGTTCTCTTGGCAGCGTTAATAGTTCCCATCGGAACTTGCGAGTCCTACTTTGGAAAGTTCAACTTTGCTGTTTATCACCTTTTTGGCATCTGCAGCTTCGTGGTTTCTTGGGAATGTCGGGTAGCTCGTGTTGCAACTTGCGAATTCTGCTTCGTGCCTTATTACTCTATTCGCGATTCTTTGGTATTCATAGCCACATGAGTTCTCGGTAATGCCAATAGCTTACTTTGCAACTTCTGAATTCACCTTTACTTCTTCCTTGAATTCGCGATTCCTCGGCTATTCATAGAAATGTGTCAACATTATCAATAGCATATGGCGAAGCTCGTGAGTATAATTTTATTATTTACTTGTTATCTGAATTCGCTATTCTGTGGGATCCCTTCAAATATTTCTTCTGGACTGTGTCAGTGACCTATATTGTATCCGGTGAATCCAGTTTTATTACCTACTTGCTGTCAATGGTCTGATATCAATAACCTATGTTCAATTTTATTACTTGCTATCTGAATTATCTATTCTTTGGTATTCACAGTAATATTTTCTCTTGACAATTTGACAGTATTGTAGGATTAATGCTAGATTAATTCTACGCTGACAGAGATCTGCGCATCTAATAAACAACGACTCCTTTTTAATAACAAAACAGATTTATTTGAATAAAATATTACACTAGGTTTCTCTCGACTCTAACTTTCAAACACACGATTCTCTACTACAGTCTCGACTACACGCATTCTGCCTCGCCCGCACCCTTGCACCCTTATTTAAAGTCTAACACTCTCTCTTTTCGTACGCAAGCTCTCTTCATTGATCACTCATTCCCCGCGCGACCTCGCCCTTGGTGGGCCAGGTACTTCAGGCACTCGGACCCATTCCTAGACTTTCGTTCATTGCTTGTACCGGCCCGGTCATATGTATCTCATCTACACAATTCTTGCACGTGGTCATCCATCCGTACGCATGCACACCAGATGATACCCTAAACGTTTAAGCCAAACCCGATACCACTCTTAATACTGTTTCCTTTACTAGAGTCCTTCCCAGCTCACAATACCACAATATCAATAGTCCATTTTGTAGTCTGTGAGATCAACTTTATTATTTTCTGTATGAATTCTCCATTTTTTCTTTTCTTATATTTATTTAAATTTGTTTCCTTTCCAATATCTATAATTTGTGAGTTCAATTATATTTTTTATCATAGGAATTCACGATTCTCAGATATTTATTCTGATCTTTCAACATTATCGGTATCCTATGCTATAATTTCTTCAGACAGTTCAATCTTATTACTATTTACGTTTCTTCAGCACTATAATTTCCGCAGTTCTACTATCCAAGTGGACGAAAAAAAAATGGACAGGAAATACTTTTCTTGGTAACATCGGTAGCCTATATTCCAACCTCTGAGTTCCACTTCATCAACCTGAATTCGCGATTCTCTGGCGTTCATGGAAATACGTTCCTTGGCAAATGGAGGTCAATGATGGCGGGATGTTCTTCTCAGTCTCGTTAATAGGCGTTCGACATCAAAGGCATGTTCGACACAGCATGAGTCTCGTTTCATTTTACGCGATTCGAGTCGTTGAATCATCGATAAAAATTTTCTCTCGCGATTAGGCGTCGATGCACGCAACGACATTTAGCTGTGGTGACCAGGAGCCTGCGTATTAAACAGATGCCTGGCGTTGATAAAGCACTGAAACATGAATTCAGTGTGATTTGCAGAATTTACGAGATACTTCGTTATTAGCAGAGTCGGACATTTTTGTGGATACTTAAGCATACTCGCGTACTATCTTATTAAATATTTAATCCTGCCCAGTTTACGTTCCCTCTAGTATGGATGAAACATCTGCTAGATAAATTTATATACGTTTTATCTGATTAAAAAGATTTTATATATCACGGTACGTAGGGTAAATAAAAATTTTTCTTAATACGATATAAAATTAACTCTTCGGTAAATTTTATCGAATTACGAGCATTTGATAATTGCTGAGGTTATTCGTTATTTTATAACACGTGTTTTAATCGCCATTTTAATTTTTCTGAGTTGTTTTAATACAGTGTGATCTTACAGGTGAATTTATTTGATATTAACTTTGTAGTTGATTGAAATAATTAGAAATAAATTATTTAGAAATTTTCGATTTCTATATCTGTCGATAATTTTTTGGATCGTGAATTTTGGTTTATTTATAATTTTTTTAATTTTCCTCGGTGTTTTACATTTGTTATGTAAATTTGTAATAATCTTTTTTTCTTTTTCTTTTCGTTCTCTTTTGATTATTACTATTTATTATTTTTGAATTTAGGATATTACCTACATTGAGAATCTTTCTCTGTATAGAGGTGCTAAGTATATTCTGATACAATATTCATGCCACATTTGGATAATTGGCCAATATTCTAAAAATTAATTACTTCCTTAATTATAATTATAATTATCTCGTGTTTTATATTATGAATCAATTACTGCATAAATAATTATTATCGTGTATGTATATTTTTACTAACTTTTTGAAACTTTTTAATATTTTCATAAAAGATATAAATTAATAATTTGCTTTATCAATATCTACTCCAGAAGTTTTCAAAAAATCTTTTGATTTTGCCAAAATTTTGTTAATATTTCTATCTGCTATACAAAATTGTACAAATGAATGACTGACCGAATAGTTCTCAC